AAACCCAGAAGTCATTGATTTTAATAGTTTTAAATTGTTTTTATATGAATTTTATTATGTGATTTAACCTGTTTTAAACGATGTATATATGTGTGTTCGGCATCTAATTGTTGCCAGTCTGAATGCCGCCCTGAGTTACCTTTGGGCTGAAAAGGGCGGGATAAAAGTGTGGTAAATAAATAAATAAAATAAAAATCTTAGCCACCCAGATTTTGGAAGTCAGGATAAGGGTTGCCCAATCTGTATTTGGATGGGTGGAGTCCCCAGTGGTGAAATATGTTAAACCTTTGTGCCAGCAGGACTGCTGACCGAAAGGTCGGCTGTTTGAATCTGGTGAACGTGGCTCCTGTCTTTCAGCTCCAACTTCTCATGTGGGGACATGAGAGAAGCCTTCCATAGGATGGTAAAACATCCAAGCATCCCCTGGGCAATGTCCTTGCAGATGGCCAGTTCTCTCACACCAGAAGCAACCTGCTGTTTCTCAAGTCGCTCCTAACATGCACACAAAAAATTGGATGGAGAATCATGACTAGATGCCGTATTTCAGAGGAAGGAAGTGGCAACCTCTGAGTGTTCCTTACCTAAGACAATACTATGAAATTCATGGGAGCATCACAAGTCAACAGGCAACTTGAAGTCACACACACATATACAAGAGTGGTCAGTTATAAGTATGACCCAGCTTTCAAGTGGGTCCTAGGTATCCACTGGGGTTTGGTTCCATACCAAATTTGTGGATGCTCTCATTATATATAAAGGTGTAGTAATATTGTCCCTTATTGAAAATTATAAAATCAAGCTTTTCTTTTTCTTCTTCTTTGGTGGTTGAATCAGTGGATACGGAATCAGTGGATGTGAAAGGCCGATTGAAGCTGCTGCATTTATTTCTATCAACACAGCTTACCTAAAACTTAAAATGTTACTTGCTAAAGAAGCTTACCATGTGGTGGGTTATCACTAATGCATTTTTAAAGTTTACTTCTTGGATTTTTAACTCACCTTCTATCCAAGGAATTCAAGGCAGCACTTAGAGCAACTAGTCTAGTGTGATGTGCTTTTATACTCACAGCATCTTTGCAAAGTATAATAGGCAAAATTTGCAACAAACTCAGTGTGCTTATTGCAAAATGTGGATTTGAGCTCTGGTCCCCAAATTGTGACCCAATAGTTTATCCCAGGGTTGAGGAATGTCTGCTTTTAATGCTGGTGGACTTTGATTCCTATCATCCACAACAGTAAAGGATAATTGCAGCAGTTCATGAACTAATAGAGTCTGAGTTTTCTCACTGAATCACAGTCTCTTTTAGCCTGAAAGCCGCGCCAGCCCGAGATTTTGTTCAAAACACATCATCCTTCTGCAAATGTATCTCTCACGATGACATATAAAGCCAGGCACCTGGCATATTCAAACTGAGTTTAATGTGCAGTGCCAGGAAGTTCCGTGGCATAAATGATCAGGATCAATGGCAGGGTCATCACAATGACATTTAGCATTAATCCAGGATAGAGTTTTATTGTCGCAATAAAATTAAAGAGTCCTCCCTTAACATTACCAGGATGCACATGTCTCTGCTGTTTATGTAAGCAAGAGATATGCTTGGCTCATTGTGTGGGAATCTAAGGTGTGTCCCAGCTTTGAGTTTTTACTATACCTGGAAAGCAACAGAACACTCCACAAAGCTTTTCTGCGCCTAACCTCCTTAAGAATGCTTTGTGTAATGTGTCATCATAAACCCGTGTTTTGACATAACAGCCTGTGGTTTTCCAACAATGGAGAAAGGCCCATTCAAGTTTATGGAAATAAAGTAATTTTAATACTCAGGTACCAAATTGTTTCAAATGTCTTGCAAAGTTGCATGTTTTGACACCTGCCTTCAAAGGACCACTACGTTAATATCTTCCAAGATCTTATCTTCATCATCCTGCTCAAACTGGGAGAATCTATTTGATTACTGATCCTAACAACTGGATTTCAAGGACCTAGGAGTTTCATATTGATATTTATGTCTGCCTGAATTTAACTTTGCAATATGTTAATTTAACACAGTGAAACATTACCAACTCTGCAAAGTCTGCCTTTGTTTTTGTTTTTCAAATTTAGAATGGAGGCTGGTTAAGACAGCAATCACCTCTCAATGTTAAGATGGAAGAATCATGATCATACATAGTTCATCAGTTGTTTATCCCCATGACAATTAGGCAGAGTAAGATGGTGGCCTCAGACAATGGATTTGGAATATCATGGAAAATAATGTTCCATTTTCTTTTTACAGGTTGAATCCTTTTTACCTGAAATGCTTGGACCAGAAGTGTTTTGGATTTTGGAATGTATTTACATATGTACATAATGGGATACCTTGGAGATCTAAACACAATATTTATGTTTCATATACACCTTATATACATAGCATGAAGGGAATTCTAGAGACTATGTTTTAATAATTTTGTGCATGTTTATTCATGGGACCACCATAAACCAAAGGTGTCACTATCTCAGCCACCACATAGATGATTATATTTCCACCAGGGAAAGAAACAAATAATTAGTGGGATTTTCTGCTTTGTGCCATTTTCTGTGGCACAAAGATGCCATTTTCTGTGGCATCTTGGATTGGTTTTGCTGAAAGTAAAGGATTTACCATCAGCTACATCTTCTCCATCACTTTCTGAGAGTGGTTTCTAATCTGGAAGTGAAAGCAGTGTTTTGCAAGTATGAAGGCTGAATGATCTGAATTTGGACACCCACACTTGGGGTTATTCAAAGTATTTCACTCCTGAATATGTATGTAGACCAGAGCTTTGAAAATTTCCTTGTCTGGACCAGTCATGCTGGATAGCGGTTTCTGAATATTGTTCTAACACTAAAGTTTCTAGGCCAGTGGCTCCCAACCTTTGGCCATCCTGGTGTTTTGGACTTCAACTTCCCAAAATCCCAGTGAGTTTACCAACTGTTAGGAATTGTGGGAGCTGAAGTCCAAAACACCTGGAGGACCAAAGGTTGGGAACCACTGTTCTAAGCTTTAATGAAAATGTGGTGTCATCATGGGCTTCCTTAAGTATGACAGTACATCTTTCTAACCCCTCACTACTCAAAAATGTTTTATAGTGAAGCTATTTATCCATCAGCACAGATGGCTGCACCTGGACTGACATTTGTATTGCCAATGCACTTTCGATTTTCAGTGAGTGCCCAAGTAAAAAAGCAGATAGGATACCATTTCTTAAATGAAACCAGGAAAGATTTTGATTTTCTCTCATCTTCCAATTTTAACCCATACTGGCTGCTCATGCTTTTCCCCAAGAGTTTTCTTCAGAGGAATTAAGAAGGGCTAAAAATGAGGAGACACAAGGTCGGGTTACTAAGGGCAGAATGCTACATAGTTGTGTTAAGCCACAGAGCATGCTCAATGGGCAGGCAATGTTTTCCAAATGTTTAATAGTGCAGGCATGCTTAGCTGAGCATCTGTGAAATATAGATTACTTTGCTCTTTAACCATGACACTGCTATTTGGATGCTTACCAAGAATAACTTCTTCCTTTGGCCTAAAAGAAAACAGTAGTATCCATACAACCTAATATGATACACAACTATTGAGAACTAGTTGTGTATCATCTCCCTGCCTCCTTCCCTCATATAGAAGATAAAGTCCCTTTTCTACCCAAATCTTATATATATAGGAGTCCTGTTATGTATTTTACCTGGTAAGCCTATCCAAGTGGAGGCTGGGTAGGAGGAAATGTAGTAACAACAACAACAACAACACCAGACTCAGAAGTTGTAATTTCTCGCTAATTTCTTCTCAAAGGCAGCAATGAGTAATTTCAGAATTTTTTCCAGATAGGAGGTTTTCAAAAACAACGTTATCTGGAAAACTCCAGTTTGTGTATGTATGTACATGTGTATAAATATGTATGTATGTATACATATATATATACACACACACACATACATGTATATATGCATGTGTGTGTGTAAACACACACACACATACTGGAGTTTGGTTCCAAGACTCCCTGGAGTAACCAAAATCTGTGTATGCTCAAGTACCATTTTATACAATGTCATAGTAAAATAGTGGCCCTTATATAAAATGGCAAAATCCAGGTGAGCTTTTTGCATTTTTATTGGGGGAACATCTTCAAACCAGGTTTAGCTGAAATGATGGCTATGGTGTGCGTGTGATAAGATATTTCCAGTTTTGGACTTATTCTACACAAAATTCACACATGGTTGTTTTGTCCAGAAAACATTTTTCTGTGGATCCTCCGGTGGCGCAATGGGTTAAACCCTTGTGCCAGCAGGACTGAAGACTGACAGGTTGCAGGTTCGAATCTGGGGAGAGTGTGGATGACCTCCCTCTGTCAACTCCAGCTCCCCATGTGGGATATGAGAGAAGCCTCCTACAAGGATGGTAAGATATCAAAACATCCGAGCGTCCCCTGGGCAACGTCCTTGCAGATGGCCAATTCTCTCACACCAGAAGAGACTTGCAGTTTGTCAAGTTGCTCCTGACCAAAAAAAAAAAAAAAAATGTTTTCTGTGTAGAAATATCAATTCCCATGCAGAAAATTCAGACTTCTGCACAAAGCAACAATGTGTGGATTTTGGGTAGAAATCTTAAACTGCAAAGATTCTTGTCAATCCAAGAATCTTCCTATCAAGATTTCTCAACATTTGAAAAACAAGTTTTCCAATCATTCTTTGAATATTTTCAAACATTCTTGCTATCCCTAGACTGGTCAGCTACCATTTCAGAATCATATTTTAGGTTCACAAGTATGTAACTTTTCAAGTTGAGGAACACTAGCCCCACCACACCAGTTGGGTGTCTCTGGTGTACAGCACAGATTTATTAACAGCTATGTAATCCATATAATTTCCAGAGACCTGTTGAGAAATCTTGTCATTGCTAGATATTGCTCAACAACAGCATATCAGGATGCTCATTTTGTGGAGCAGCAACGCATCCAAACCACCATCATTACCACATGCAGACCAATACATTTTGAAATCAACTTTAATTAAACTATTTCAAAATATCAGACAAATATTATACAAATATGTTTTCTATTTTAAGGTGCAAATAACAATCTTTCTTTCCCAGTCCCTTTTCACAGTTTTAAGTAATTTATGCCAACATTGCAAACAAAGGATATGGTCAGATTAAAATTAGGCATTTTTAAGTCCACTGATTGCACCAAGAGCACTAAGTTATTGAAAGTGCCTAATTTGATCTAGACCGTACCCCTTCTGCAATTAATAAAGGTATCTGACTCGGATAGGCTCATTTAAATTCAATGATTTCAACTGATCTGACAAACTGTTATGCATTTTGCAATATCCTCTCCCAAAGATCTGGGGTATCTTCCTCTCTAAAGCAAACAGTTCACTTTAAGCCAGGTGAGGCCTGCCAATTAACACGTCTATAGAAGTATGTGCCACTATGAGCCCAGTACATAATTCAGTACTGTCAGCTCAGATTACATAGTGGTTGTAAAGCAGAACTGGAAAAAAAAATCTAGAAGTAATACCAAAACAGGAGCAGCAGAGTAAGGGAAAAAAATCCAATAATTACTATGTAAAAAAATTGGTCCCTTTGAGTTCTTTAGGCAGGTATTCCTGCTCCACAGGTTCTTTATATGCAGGGTTATATTTATAGCCTTTAGCATAGCCAAGGTCCTTCATGAGCCTGGTAGGTGCATTTCTCAAGTGCAAAGGAACTGGTGGAAGGGGTCCTTGGTGGTTCCTCAAGCAGGCCTTGACGTTGTTGTAAGCATTGTACACCTCTATAGACTTTGGTGCTCTGGCGAAATAGACAACACACTGAGCTAGTAAGACCTGGAAAACCAAAAGAGAAAAAAACAACAGAAATGATTTGTAGTTCTTTTAGAGGGCATGATGTTGGCAGAGCTATATGTAACCCTGAAAAAAAACCAAACTTGAGTCCCAAGACTTCAGTCAAGCTCTGGAATATCAGTGAATACAACCAGCCTTCTACATTTATTGTGGTAAAGGGAACGGGACCCCCACGAAAGTGAAAAAATGTAAATTCATAGGCTGCCTCACCTCACACTCTGGCATCCCAATAAAATGGCAGCCTTGATAAGCAGCAACAGCTTGAGTTAGTGCAGCGGGATCTGCCAGTCCTGCAACCAAAACAGAGTAACAATTTAAAAAGAGTTTATTATAGTAGCAATGTGCCACATTGTCTCTTCTGAAAGAAAAAGGGCGCATCCAGATAACAGTCAAATCCTGCACATTGATTTGAATCCCCACCTCCACAACCCAGGCTTTCCTGGGGGGTGGGGGGTGGAATGTACCCATGCCATCCCAGTAATACCAAATCCTCCCAAAAGCCCTTAAAAGAAGAAATAACTTATCGGGCTGCCATTAAGGTACTGCTGGAGTCCTCCTGGCACATAGAAATGATGATCCAGGAGACCGAGGGGGGAGGTAAGGAGTAAAATCACTCCTGCCTCCCCCCCCCCCTCCTGGAATGTCATTTCTATGCCCAGGACTCCAGCGGTACCCTCATATAGTACCTGATAAATTATTCCCTCTTTTAAGGGCTTGGGGGGGGGGGGTGTTGGGGAGGGGTGGGCACCACAAAATGGCTATGGATTCACTCCTGGATAGTCTCCGGACTACTTGGGGATGAGTCCCCATAGGCACAATACCCCATTACACCCAGGCCTTTCAGAATGGCCCGGATGTAATGGGGTATCTAATTAATTTGATTTTACCTGAGGCATCATTCGGACCCTTCAGGTAAAAGCCCAACAGAACCTGTATTTTGGGGCCTGTATGGAAGGACCCTCAGTCTCACAATAGGGCTAGGCATCACTGGACACTTCGAATCATAGATCTGGAAGAGATCACAAGATTATTCGGTCCAACCCCGCCCCTCCCCCAAATGAACAACCGAAGTATTTCTGGCAGAGGTCATTCCTTAGTAGGAATCCTACTGTGAACCCCTGAGGCCCTTGACTTTGCTACTGTTTCTCCTTTCTTTCATTCCGTATTAAGCAGTGACAAGCAGAAAATATGGAGAAGTACAAATGTCTATTTTCCTGTCTTCTTTGCAACTCTACAGTTTGAGACCAACTGGAAAGAGCAAGTTGAAAGAGCAGTAGTAACAACAGTCAGCAGTTCTCCCTCTCTCTCTCTCACACACGCGCGCGCGCGCACACACACACATATATATATTGAAACAGATCTACATTATAATGTTGAAAAGAAAAAAAACAGAGAAAATTGTCAAGGAGCCCTCTTGAATTACTCACCTATATCTTCACTAGCAAATCTCACCAGCCTCCTTGCCACATACAGTGGATCCTCACCGCCTTCAAGCATTCGAGCAAGCCAGTAAAGAGAAGCATTTTCATCAGAGCCTCGCATAGATTTATGGAGCGCAGAGATGCAATTGTAATGCTCCTCACCTGTTTAGAAATAGACAGAAAGTTACATTAGTTCTCGGCCATCCAAAAAGTTTACTAGCAGTTTTTGTGTTTTTTTGGTCGTGTCAGGAGCAACCGCTCCTGTTGTGAGAGAATTGGCCGTCTGCAAGGACGTTGCCCAGGGGACGCCTGGATGATTTTTGATGTTTTTATCATCCTTGTGGGAGGCTTCTCTCATGTCCCCGCATGAGGAGCTGGAGCGAATAGCGGGAGCTCATCCGCCTCTCCCCGGACTAGCAGTTCACACAAGACAAAAAGACAAGAAGACAAAAAGAACTACTTCTTCATGGCACCTAATTAGCATGTGAACTACTGCTGCTACTACTATTACTACTATTATTAACAATGATACTAATACTAAAAATTCCATTTTTCTCTTTTAAAAAAGATTCAAAGTGGTGAGTAATACTAAAAACAATATAACATACAGCTTAAAACTTAAAACATATAAATACTAAAACAGAATTAAACAAAGGACTATTACAAAGAAATAGGGAAACCATTAAAAAAATAAAATACATCAAACACTTCACAACACCCTGGTCATTAGTTTGGATGGATTTAAAAAAGGATGCCATAAATTTATGGCAGTTTGTCTTTTCCTGGCCCTGAGACTTCACAGCAAGGTTTCAGAACCATGCAAGTTCAGGGGGTGGGGTTCACGGCTGGGGGGTAGAGGGTTAAGAAATGTTAAGGTATAAATAATTGTACAACCAAATCTGATTGTTCATATGTTTAATGAGCACTGAATATTCACTCTTTTGTAAATCTTTGGCATTTTTTTCTTTTTTCTTTCTTTTGTCTGTTCTGTTTTCTACATACACTATAAAACAATATTTTTTTTAAAAAAAGAACCATGCAAGTTCAGAATCAACCCCCAGATCAACGAAATCATGTCTTTCTTGCAAAGGAGGCACAGCTGGACAAGGACATAGGTTGGAAACATGGGGTCCTCAAGATGTTCATGATCAAAACTAAAAGATGGGTGCCTGGAAATCATAATCTATTTTTTTAAAGTAATCACTATAACAATCATCAAAGTGAAAATTGGAGAGGGCCCTGTGTAGCAGAGCATATTTTAGCAGGTATATGAAAGAATCTGGAGAGCACAATCTTCTGTTTCACTACTGAATCTGGTTTGTCAGCAAAGTATCCAAGTTCTATATTCCGTTAAGGTCTGACAATGTCCACAAATGGCATTATATTTGGAACCACCATCAAGATCTTGAAAAACCCTGCCAGCGAGGATTTTCCAATGAAAAATAGGAGTTTCTAATTGAACACAGGACCCTTTGACCAGATTCCTTGTTGGGCTTACACAAAGAAATAAAGAAAATGTTGCAGGAGAAGAGAGAGTGTCAAGGGGCCACTGGGATGAGATGGCCGAGGCTGGAGCCACTGGAGAAGACAACATTTAATTGGAGTGAAGGGACGCAAGAGGCCGTCATCTCTCTTTCTCTCCTCCCTCTTCTGGGGTCCTGATCCCTAAGAAGGAAGAAAGGAACTAACAAAGAGAGAAAGGAAATCGAGAAAGAAAGGGAGGAAAGAAGCAAGGAAGAGAAGCCTGGAGAGAGAGGACCAGTGGAAATTTGAACAGGGCTGCAGTTGGCCCATGGGCCGAACTTTGGACATCCCCGGATAGTATTAGGTCTATTTTAATAGTAACTCTCAAGCAAACCCATGGGTGCCAGTTAACTGAGAGTCTACGAAATAACAATATCTGTGTCTGCATCATTCTCCCTCTGTTGCAAAAAGCAAAACATTTTGTATTTTCATTTGGAAGCATGTAAGCATGTGTCCCTCTTTAAGTGGGATTTCCTGTAAGTTCAGCTCATCCGTATTTCACAAGGGTGGTCTCTTGTAAGACATACAAAGCCAGCAGACAGCTATTTTTAATAGTGCTCCACACAAAGAGTCCACTGGCATGCCATCGATATCGGGCCAATATAAACAGCGTGTCTCTGCTCTGTCACAGCATTCAGGCTTTCAAGTTGAGCTGGCGGCAATAAAACCGGCAGCTGGGAGACTCGTCATAGTCTTGGGAATGGCGTCGCTTGGTCTTTTACAAAACCCAAGATGGCCTTTAAATATTTGAAAAGGCAAGCATAGCTTATCTTTTCCAGCTGGCGTTCTTGCGGCTCTGTGTGATAATCCACTAGGTTTCCTTCAGTATTCAATGGATACCGGGAAGTGTATGCAACCATATTTGTGCTCTTGAGCATATGCTATATCTTGTGTGTGTTCATGTGTGGCAGTGATTGTCAAAGCAATGGGTTATGATAAAAAACATATTGCTTTGACAATCACTGTGACACATGAACACACACATACAAGAGATATAACATATGCTCAAGAGCACAAATATGGTTGCATTTAAAGAGATTGTTGTTTGAAAATAGCCTTACACTTCCCTTCATATGTTCATCACATCAAAAGGTCCAAACCATGGATTTGATAAGTAGGTTTTAAGGTTTGATATGTTTTAATGACTTTTTAAATGTACATGCTTATTTTACTATGTATGTATGTCTACATGGCATCGAGTCATTGCCTATATATGTAAGCTGCCTTGAGTCCCCTACGGGGTAGAGAAAGGCGGAATATAAATACCGCAAAGAAATAAATAAATAGATCAAGAAGGTTGCAATTAATTTCTGCATATTTTATAAAATTTTAAGACATTTTCAATGAGTTTCTACAATAATATGCTTGTCTTCTCAACAGTGTAAATGGGGCAATGCTCTTCATCTACATAACTCACTTTGATTTTTATGAATAAAAATAATAATTGGGTCTAGGCACTTCAAAAAAGGCGTGCTTTTAAAATATTTTTATTGAGAAGGCATTGCATGTTTGCCTTCAGCTTTGGAAGCTGCCCTGAGTCCCTTCGAGGGAGAAAGGGCAGGTTAGAAATAAAGTTTTTATTTTTATGATTATTTATTTATATGTAAATGTTCAATTTTACACACTGTGAAGCACATATTTTCATGTAATAAACGTTTTAATTTTACTTATACATTTTCTCCTTGCCTCGAAACAAATACTCCTCACATCTACCATTATACTACAAATATGTTTTAAAATTAATAATAATTTAAAAAGTCAAATTGAGTTCCTGCTTCCCTGCACAAAGATAGGATCTACACTGCCATATAATCCAGTTTCTGAATCCAGATTATCTGATTTGAGCTGGATTATATGTATGTACGCTGTGATATAATCCAGTTAATCTGGATTTAGAAAGTGGATTATATGGCAATATAGATGGGGCCACAGACATGTTAAATGGATCCTTATGTGTAGCCCCATTGAATATACAGTCTCGCTTATCTAACATAAACGGGCCGACAGAACTTTGGATAAGCAAAAATGTTGGATAATAAGGAGGGATTAAGGAAAAGCCTATTAAATGTCAAATTATGTTATGATTTTACAAATTAAACACCAAACATAAAGTTTTACAACAAATTGACAGAAAAAGCAGTTCAATACACGATAATGTTAAGTAGTAATTCCTGTATTTACGAATTTAGCACCAAAACATCACAATATATTGAAACAGCTGTGGATCCGAGCAGGAGGCAGTCTACATTGGATAATACAGAACGTTGGATGAGCGAAGGTTGGATAAGCGAGACTCTATTGTACTATGTATATGAGATCTCTCCAATCTTCTAGTTTATTTTGTTTCTTATAAATCTTCAAACATCACAAGTAATTTTCCCATCTCTTATTTTTTTTAAAAAAGGCATTTTAAAACACGAGATGGGGAGAAAGCGAAACCTCCAGCAGGATGAGCCTCTGTATGTTTGTAAATCCGAAAACTTTTTTATTTTGATTTCCTGTGTCAGCTGTGAACGCTGTTTATTTTAAAAGCCTCAAGTCTTTGGAATGAACTTTGTTTAGTGGGCCATATCAAGAACAGTCTCACATCCCTTTTCAGACTAGTTCCATCTCCTTTCAACTTTTGGCAGGCTGCAGGCCCTAAAACCAGGATTGCTTTGTAACTGTTTTCACTGTACGGGCGCATTTTGAAACGTGGTTTTAAAAACACTGCTTTTTCTCTTTTCATTTACATAAGCCAGTACTTTAATAAACAAGTAAGTATTTTAAATGACATTATTTATTAATTCATTGAGTTTATATTTCATTTTTCTCCCGACACGGGATTCACTGTGTGATAATTTGAAAAAGGATTAAGCTAAAATATTAGTTTATTTTTATTTTGTGTCAAAAACTTTGCATAAATAAGTCTAAAACTGATAAAATAGAAGAAGCATAATAGAGGGGGATATGGAAAGAGCCTCTTCGAAGACTGAGTAAAAATAGTTGGGCATCCCTTGGGCAACGTTCCTTGTAAACGGCTAATTTTTCCAACCCAATAGCATTGCTTTACAAATATTAGTTTACAAAAGTTAACAAAGAATTAGTTTACAAAAGTTAACAAAGAATATGATAATAAACTTCATAGGCGATGTCCAGGCATGTAGCCCGGGGGGGGGGGGGGGGGGCTTGGGGGGCTTCAGCCCCCCCCCCCAAATTCTCATGGTGGTTCGCGAAAAGGCCTTACTGGTGCATTATTTAAACTGTTATGTTTATTCATATCATGATCTGATCACCATACTCAATCTATCCCATATGCATGGGGGTATTGGGGTAATGATACAAAAGGTTTGCTAGGCTAGACCCTCTTTCACTCAGACTCAGCCCCCCCAAACTCAGCCCCCCCAACCCCCCCTGAAAAACATTCAGCCCCCCCCCAAACGAAATCCTGGCTACGGGCCTGGCGATGTCAGAATATGGTTTTAAAGCAACACAAGGTAACAAACGGCTCATTTTTAGTAACACAGCCATTTTGCAAAAATACTTTTATATTTGAAAAAAAACCTTGATTAAAAAGCAAACCTAAAAGTTGGAAGCCAACAAAAAGGATCAGAATGTGTTTAATTTGTTTTAATTCCCTTACATTTACTGCTTGCTCT